GTGGGTGGGTGGCGGTGTGTGCCGTGTCCGTGGGTGGGTGGCGGTGTGTGCCGTGTCCGTGGGTGGGTGGCGGTGTGTGCAGTGTCCGTGGGTGGGTGGCGGTGTGTGCCGTGTCCGTGGGTGGGTGGCGGTGTGTGCCGTGTCCGTGGGTGGGTGGCGGTGTGTGCCGTGTCCGTGGGTGGGTGGCGGTGTGTGCGGTGTGTGCCGTGTCCGTGGGTGGGTGGCGGTCTGTGCCGTGTCCGTGGGTGGGTGGCGGTCTGTGCTGTGTGCCGTGTCCGTGCCGTGTCCGTGGCCGCCGCTGTGCCCTTGGCCGTGCCTCGAGACGCCCTGCTCTGGCACCTTCTCTGTCTTGTGCTGGGGGTGTCTGTGGGTCCCCCACCCCTGCCCTGGCCGGGATGGGTTCACCCCCAGCTGGGACCGTGAGGATGTGCAGGTGTCTCGGCCTGGGTGTCTCAGGCTTGGCCGTCACCTGCTGCTGTGTGGGACATGGCAGGCCCCAGGCCTCTGGTCACCCCGGCCTCTCCCCTCCTCCTCTGGTCACCCCGGCCTCTCCCCTCCTCCCCCGGCTGAACAGGGGTGGCCGGCGCCGGGCCTCCCGCTGCCCTCCGGGAACAGCACTGAGCTGGGCCCCTCAGGTTGCACCCCTACAGTGAACGCCGGCAGAGCCGCGCAGCCCCCTCCCCCCAACCGTTTAAAGGGTCCGGAGAGCGCCACCTTGTGGCAGGAGAGGGTCCCACGGGTCTCCCCTGGTTGCCCCTGAAATGCGCTTTGAATAGAACAGGGGTCCCGCAGCGCGCTGCCCGCCCCGTCCTGGGCGCCGCCCTCGGCTGGGGGCGAGTGGTGCTCGCCAGCGCCTCCCTCTAACAGTCGGTTGGTGGCTCCCAGGCCGTGGTGACACTGGGCATGAGTTCTATGATCTATTGGGAGTCAGCTCTAATCATAGGGCCCACGAATGAAAGGAGGGTGCTGCTCCCAGGGGATGCTGGTCAGGAGCAGGGCCCCCCCACAGCCACGTCCTCCCCCCTCCTCCCCCGTCCTGGCTCCCGCAGGGCCTCTGAGACCCTCCGGAGCCCCGTTCTCTTGGCTGTATTGTGGGCTGGCATAGCCGTGGAGCAGGGTTAGATGTGTGTGTGTGCACGCGCGTGTGTCTGGGCTGTGCTCCCGTGGCGGCAGCGCGCAGGTCCGCCTGGCTGAGCGCACCGGGGCAGCGCACGCGCTGTGTGTCCCAGCAGCAGGGACAGGTCCCTTCCCAGGGACCTGTCTGCAGGCGGGTAGCACCGGCCTGGCTCTGCGGCCGCGCTGTCTCTCCCCACGGGGCTCCAGAGACCCACAGGCACTTGTAGGTTCGAAAGTTCCAGGCTGCGGTTCTCTCTGTGACTCACGCCACACTGCGCTAACCGTCCCCCACCTCAGGGACTTGGGCACGGGGGGGATGGGCAGTGCTCCGGGCAGTCCCCCGCCACCCTCCCCCCCCCCGCTGGCGGGGGACCCCAGGAAGGCCTCAGCCTCTGAGGAGGGGAGGGCTGTGAGGCTGGGGTGGAGGCTGGTGGCGGCTCGGCCCGGGGGCGTTGGAGGGGCTGTGGCCTGGGCCTCCTCCACCGAGGGGCCTCCTCCTCCGAGGGGCCTCCTCCTCCGAGGGGCCTCCTCCACCGAGGGGCCTCCTCCACCGAGGGGCCTCCTCCACCGAGGGGCTCAGCCATGCCGTCAGGGCTGCCAGGCAGAGGCGGGGTGGAGAGGAATGCGCTATGATACCCTGCCCCCAAGGGTGAGAGGGGTCGCCCCGGGGACCCGGGTCTCAGGGAACGGCTGCTTCCTGTGTGTGTGGGGGGTGCGTGGGAGGTGTGGGGGACATGGAGCAGCGGTGGGGGGTGCACGCATGAAGTCACACAGCACATCTGTGCACGTCCACATTCACGTACACGTCGCACAGGCACACCAACACGCACACGTGAAGTCGCAGCACATGCATGCACGTGGTCATGCATGTACATCACCCAGGCATACAAGGATGCATGTACAAGCTTGTGCATACAAGCACACCTGTGCACATAAGCACACACACGTGCAAGCTCACATGGAGACTCGCATGCACAGAGGCACACAGGGACACACGTGCAAGGCACACACACACAGGCAGCCAGACCCAGGGCCTCCCTGTGGATGGAGTCCCCTCTGAGGGCTTTCTACTTCGGGCCCTTGGTGCGGGGGGGGGGGAGCTGTGGGCATGGCTGTCCCCTGTGGTCCCAGCATCCCAGCAACTGCCTGTCACCATGACCTGGTCCTGCTTTGCTGGTTGGCCTTGTCCTTCTCCCCCACCTCAGCTGCCCACGGCCTCCCGCTCCCACGGCCTGGGCCCGCGGGGTCCGCGCTGGCCCGTGGGGTCAGCACTGGCCTGCAGGGTCCACGCTGGCCCTCGGCTCACGCTGCCTCTGGCCATCCAAAGCATAGCGGGGCCTTGTCAGCGGCGCCTGGGGGGGGTGGCGGTGGTGGTGGCCGCGGCCGCCTCGGTGGGCTGCTGAGTCACGGAGAGCCACGGGGGGCCGATGGCTATGGACATGGTGCCCGAGAACTGAGGTGGTCAGGACACTTTCAGGGGCCATGTGGGGACGTGGGGCAGAGAAGGCCTCTGGGACACGGTGGAAGCCAGAGCCCGGGGGAGCCCGGCCTGGGCAGAGCCGCGGCTCCGGGCTCCGGGCTCCGGGCCGGCCGCACCTGTGTATGCGGGTCCCCAAGCCCCGGCTCTGCGAAGCTCCAGTTTGGGTGGCTCAATGGAAGGGGTGGGGTGCCTCAGTTTCCCCATCTGGGAGAAGAGAACCGTGTGACCGCGTGCTGCAGGAGGTGCCTGTTGTCCTCAAGGCAGAAGTGGCGCCAAGGGGCCTCGGTGTGAAGCCGGGGGGGGGGGGGGCTGCCGGGGGAGTCTCTTCCCTTGGAGGCCAGACCTCAGGGCTCAGACCTCCAGTGTGGCCAGTGGCGCAGCCGGCTGCACAGCCTCAGAGGGGCAAGGTGGGGGACCAGGGTCTGGAGGAGATGCAGGGTAGCATCTGGCCTCTTGGCTTCTCGGCAGCTCTCCAGGAAGCCCAGAGTCGGGAGCTGGGCCCGGTGTGGCCATTCTGCCCATGGCAGGAGTTCCGGTGACCCCCACAGAGGCACAGGCTCTGACCGCCAAGGCCAGCCCGCCGTCCACCCGCTCGGGGCCTCGTCAAGTGCCCACCTGTCCGAGCGAGGGGTCAGGCGCCGGTCAGGCCCAGCCCCGACGGCAGCGGGTGCGCCCGGCGTCTCATGCGCCCCTCTCTCGGCAGACGGCGCCCCCCTCGGTGAGCTCTCCTGGTCGTCCTCCCTGGCCGTGGTGGCGGTGTCCTTCTCCGGCCTCTTCACAGTCATCGTCCTCATGCTGGCCTGCCTGTGCTGTAAGAAGGGCGGCATCGGCTTCAAGGTGAGGCCGGGGGGAGGGGGCCTGGGGTCCCATGCGGACGTCCTCTGGGGCAACAAGGCTCCGTCACCCTGGCATGGGGTCCCTCAGGGACCCCCACCCACTTTTGGGTGCCCTGGGCAGGGCCCTCCCACTGGCCTGTCCTGGTGGTGGGAGCTGGGGACGGCCGGGAGGCATCATGGACTCTAGACTGGCGTGGGGGGGGGCTGTGACTCCCAGTGGAGGAGCTCCCCGCGAGGCCCCGGACCCCACTCCGCTAGAGCCTGCCATCAGGCGTTCCTTTGGGGCATCTTCTGCCCCTGGTGTGGGTTTCTAGAAGCCCGGCCGCCATCCGTGGCCACTGCTCTTCATGGACCGTTCGCTGAGGCCCTGCAGCCTCCAGAGTCCCTGCGAGGCTGGGCTGGGGAGGAACCCCTCTTCCGGGGTGATGGCCGAGAACACCGCTCAAGGGGTGCCCCCGCCCTGGCAGCCCCCATGTGCCCCCCGCCCAGCAGCGGCACTGAGTGAGGGGCGGGAGCACAGAGTTGAGCCCCAAGCCCAAGCGCCTGCCTGGGCCTCGGTCTGCTGGTCAACGCATCGTGGCCGGGCAGGACCTCCCGCCATCAGCCGGCCCTGGGCACTGGCTGGCCCCAGGCATGGGCCGGCCCCGAGCATCGGCCGGCCCTGGGCATCGGCCGGCCCAGCCCTGGTGGAGGCCAGGCTGGGCAGAGCCTCCTGGGGCTGGGTGCAGCCCCCAGCTGTGTTTCGATGGCAGCCCCCTCTAAACGACCTGTGCCCAGCACCTCTCCCTGCCCGAGGGAGCCCATGGCAGGCAGGCAGCAGGAATGTGCTCCTTGCCTTTCCCAAAGCCTGAATTTGCTGGCTCAGTGATTCTTCTAGAACCCCCCCACCAGGGGGGCTGAGGGCTGCATGGCGGTGCTGTGGCCCTGCCCTGGCGCCCCCACCCCGGGACACCGCCCCTCACCCACGGGCCCCGGGCCATTGTACAGCGGCCTCCTCGGGCCCCGAGAACAAGGCCCCACACAAGGGCTCTCGTCCCCCTCCTACCCATGTCCTCCTCGCCTCCTTGGGAGCCTGGTGCCCGGAACATTCCAGCACCAGCGTGCCTGGCGGGAGGGCTCCCAGCCGGCTGCCGGCCCGGGCAGGGCTCTCTGCAGCACGGGGGGCAGCTTGGGGTCCTGGTCCTGGAGCCGCGCGGGGGGCGCCGGCCGGGCTCCCATGCTCACTCTGTGCTACCTGCTGGCCCGCTGTGCCAGCACCGCCCAGCGGGGCCCCGGGCACAGGGGGCA